TAATAACTTATTCAGCGATGAAGCTAGGGACCTCGGATTTACCGTGATCATAGATATGCGTGGAAAACATGCGTACAATAATGTACGGCCGATTCTTAAGGCCATCAACGTACGGGTTTTACATCGTTCTCTTTTATACATTATCAACTTTCTATAATGTTTAGTACCTGTGTGAAACTACATCTGGAATTAATGTCATGATTCTCATCATCAAACCTGACACATTTTGGGAGAAACAAAAAGCAAATATGTTAATTGGATCATGGAGTTTTGAAGTAAGATTTTAGAAATTCTATAGTGTTTTTCCGTTTTTCTCGTTTATTTCCTTGATCCAATACCCATTTATTAGGTTCATATGGTCTCTATAGATGCCTTAGTTAAATTTGTTGATCCAAACCAGCTCATTCGAGATCTTGGTGGATCATTTCCATACGACCATGATGATTGGTTGGACACTCGCTTGGTAAATGCTGACAAGCTTCTCATTGAAATTACATACATAGAAAGTTGTTCTTTAATCTCAGGAACTGGAACGGTGGATTTGGCAGGTGTCAGAGGTGATGCGCAACTTGGAGTGTCAGCGGAGGTCCATGATGGAGGCGCAATCGCCGGTGGATGTAGCTACTGCCGAAGCTGCTCTTTCTCAGCATTCTTCGATAAAGAAGACCATATTTACAATCCCTGTTGAACGCTTGCAAAGCGAGTCAGAGAGGGTGAATGAATTGAAGTAGATATATTCTTCAACTAATAAAATTCACATTGAAGATAGCGGAACGGATAAACAGAGCACAATGCGGCATCTCTAATCCTGACCTCATATCTTCCATACCTCATATGGTCAATCTTCTCACTTCATTACGAGGCTTAAAGTGGGATTCTTCACATGTACTCTGATACAATTTCCTTGTAAGTTTTTTTTAGAAATGACGTATTCAAACAATGGGAAAGCCGTCGCATCGATTTGGAGAGTTGCTATCAAATGAAATTGTTCGAGCATGACGCTGAAGAGGTATGCGGCTTGCTCTGGTTGCCTTTTTTCGT